GCTGAAGAGCAGCATGGGAAACACAGGGAGGCCCTGGAGAGAGGAGGGAAGGAGGGAGAGCGGGATGGGAGTGGGGGTAGGAAACATAGGCTTTTTTTTAGGGAATATACGGTTAGGTCTTTCTTTTATATCCAATTGGATATTCACCTTTTAATTAGTATGTTTGAGGTAATTTTGTTCACTAAAATATGTTTGGATTAAAGTCTGCCATCTTTCTAGCTATTTTCTATTCATTGTGTTTCTTGTATAACTTTTTCTGCTTGCCTTTGGATAAAGGACTTTTTATAATTCCATTTTATCTTGCTTGTTATTTAATTTTACTTTAAAAATGTTAGTAAATATTTTTAAATTTACAGTGCTCAGCTTTAATTACTCTCAACCTACCTTCAAATGATATACTATTTTCTGTACCATGTTATATATAATATATAATAGTGTACTCTCAGTATAGCCTCATGTTTTAAATTATTGTTGCCATATATTTTTACACTTGCTATATACACATAATGCATTGGTATTTGCCAACTGTCTTTTAGAATGATTAAAAATAAAACAATAAGTATTTCCTGTATTTTATTTTTGTCTTAACCATTTTCAGAGATCTTTATTTCTTTGAGTATGTTAGTTTCTGTCTTGTGTTCTATTCCTTCCACTTGAAGACTTCCCTATTACATTTATGGTAGTAAACTTGTGTTAATGAACCCACTCAGCTTCTCTTTGGAAAAATTTTACCTTTTAAATGTTGTTTTTAACTTGATTGACAGTTTTGTTAATTTCAGTACTTCAAAGGTGTCACTTCATTGACTTTTGGTGTACATATAGGTCTGGTATAATTGTTTATATGTAACATGAATTTTTTTTCCTTTACAGCCTTCAAGATTTTCTCTGGTTTTCAACAGTTTCCACAGCATGGATTTTATCTGGATTTTAAAATTTTTGCTCTGGGCTTCCTGAGCTTTGTGAATTTCAGGGTTTGACATCTTTGAACATTTTCATCAGTTATTTCCTTAAAGTGTATCATCTGTCCCTATGTGCCTCTGTGCTCCTTATGAGACCCCCAATTTGCCCCTCTCCTCATACAGTGTATATGTGTATGTAACTCTGTACTTTTTATACCTTAATTTCTGCACTTCCCATTTACCTATCTTCCAGTTTATTGATTCATATGTTTCAAGTTTACTGATGAACCCAAAGGCATTCTTCATCTTTGCTATTGTTTTTTTAATTTCTAACTCTCTGACTCCACGTGCTCTTACGGCTTCTGTCCTTCTACTAAAATTCATCTGTCCAAGTGTGTTTTCCACCTATCCCATTAGACCTTTTAACATATTAATCACAAGCATGTAAACTTCCTTACTCAGTAATACCAACATCTGGATTGTCTGCGTGTGGCTATGTTGCCTGCTTTGTCTATTGACACAAGGGTTGATTTTCCTTGACATTTTTAAATTTAATTTTTAAAAATTATTAAGTGTGGGGCACTATGCATGCATAGGACAGTAAAGAGTGAGATAAAAATAGCACATATAGTTAGAAATGAACATATGTCATTTTCTGACACAACTTTACTATGCAGGGCTGTTCGCCTGGTCAGTTCATCTTATTTAGGTTTTGTGGTTGTTATGGCTACCTCTAGCATTCATTGTGCTTAAGTAGAAAGCTGATTTTTTTCCTTCATGTTCCTGCCCTGCCCTTAACATTCAACCTTTTCTCTTTTTTCATCTTGTCCCCCTCAAGACGCAGACTGCTGTGGCAGGTTAGTGTGTGTTAGTTTGCCGAGGAGCATGAGTTTCTCTGTCGTCCTAGCCCTGTGTCCTGGGTCTTGGCTACTGGGCTTCCTCAGAGATCCTACTCCTCCCCTAGTGACAGGATATCTTTAATGGCCTGGAGCCAAAATGATTTCCTGTTCCTCCACTAGAAATAGAGTTGTTCTATTTTCTCTTCCTCTGGTTAAAACAGGTCTTCACCTATGCCCTGAGGTCTAGAAGATCTGCTGTTGCATTACCTCCCCCACCCCCAATTATAGCTTTTGTTCTACAGGGCAGAAGGGTTCAGGCAGGGCTTTGTGAGTTCCTCACAGTGGCAGCTGTTCACCTCCTCAGGTCCTTACCACGAAGGAAATCTTTCCCAGTTCCCTTCCCCTGCACATTTTTTTTTTAAAAAAAGTTTTCTGTTTTTTCAGTTGTTTTTGTTTTGAAATTTTGAGACAGGATCTCGGTCACTTAGTTGCCTAGACTGGGTGCAAAATTACAACTCTCCTGCCTCAGCCTCCCAGAACACCTGGATTACAGGCATGTGTCACCATGTCCAGCTTGCTTTTCCTAATGTTAAGTGTGGATATGCTGTTGCTTTTAGCTTCTCAAACTACCCTTGGAATTGATATGAAAATACAAAGAATCATGGGTTGCCAAAACATCCTTGAAGAACAAAGTGATGATTTAAAAAGTTATTGGAGCAGAAACAAATAAACCAATGAAACAGAGACCACAGAAATAGACCCAGAAAGACACAGACATTTACTTTACATTGAAGGGCAGTACTACAGAACAGTAGGGGGCAGTCTCACTAGGTGTGAGGTACAATTGTTTTGAGAGACAAAGACTTCAGATAAAATAAAAAATTTTAGCTTTACTACTAAAAATTTTAGCTTTACTACTGTCAAGAGCTGGATTGGAGGATGTATGACCACAACGGGATACCAAATAAGCTCACCTTACCTTAGATAAACTTGCCCACTCAAGTCCAATGCAGAGATGGACAGCTCCAGGTTTCCAGGTAGTCTGCTTTAGAAATCTTAGAATTTGGCTGAAATCAAAGATATGCAGAAGGCGTTGGGATGAGAAGCAGAGGCACTGGGAAGAAAGTTTTCTGTAAGATCAGTCATTCTTCTTTTCCTGGAATGGAGTGAGGAAATTTTCTTTCCCACTTCCATAGAAGAATACTATTCTGTGGAAATGTGGAGGAGGAGGAGCGTTACCTCTTAATAACAGACTGGCTGCGCTTGGAAGATGGTTCTATTTCTTCTTTTTGTTTTGGTTTGTTTTTTTTGAGACAGGGTATCAAGTTGTTCAGGCTGGCCTTGAACTTGAAATCCTCCTTCCTTGGCCTCCTGAGGAGCTGAGGTTACAGGCATGGAACACCACATCTTGCAATCCTTGGCTCTTAAGCAAGACTGATATACACTCCAATCACCTTTTTTTAAATTTTATTTTTTCAGTAGTTTTCCCCAAAGCATCTGGAGACACTAAGAGTAAGGGCTGTGATCTTTGCCAAGCCATGTATTTATGAGCAAAGACTGTCCCATTTTCCTATTCAATGTACTAAATCATGACACACACTTAAAGCACCTCTGAAGCTTGCATAAATCATTATTTTCCAAAGTTTGGTTAAATACTTGCTCCTTTATATTGCCCCCTTCCTAAACAGACAATGAAAACAAAGAAACATCTGCAACTTTAAGTCATTACTTCCTTCTCAGTGATAAATGATGATCACTGTGTATCCACAAGACTTTTACTCATGGTATGAATTAGTTAGGACAATGTGGTCCAAAGAATTTCAGTTCACACATGGCAGTACATGTTTAATTAAATTTTTCTTTTTTATTTTGCAATCACTGTAGATTTATATTCAGTTGTAAGAAACAACACACAGAGAACCCATGTGCCAGAACACAATTTCCTTATCAACAGTAACGTCTTGCAAAACTATAGGACTGTATCACAAGCAAGGACTTACTGACATCCAAAGTCATAATACAGAGCATTTCCATTGCAAGAGTATTTCCCTCGTGTTGCCTTTTTATAGTCACACTCAATTCCCTCCACCCCATTTCTCCTTACTACCACTCTGTTCTCCACTTTTATAATCTTGTCTTTCAAGAATATTACACAAATGGAATTGTATAGTACATAATCTTTTGAGGTTAGCCTTTTCACTCAGAAAAATTCTCCAGAACTCATTCAAGTTGTTGCATGTATCCACGGATGTCCATTTTTAATTGTGGAGAAGTAGCTCATGGCATTAATGTGTAGTATTCACTTTCCCATTGCTGGGACAAAATAACTGATATGCACAACATAAGGGAGGAGGTCTATCTGCCTCGGCTTCAGTGGGCTCAGCCCACGGTTGGCTGGCTCGGGGCAGAAACAGCACAGTAGAAGGTCACGGTGGAAGACTGATGCCATGCCATCGGCAGCCAGGAAGTGGAGAGAAACGGGCGGGGAGAGCTGGAGACGGAATATACACTTTCAAGTCACGCCCCCGGGACCCACCTCCAACCGGGCTGCACCTCCCACCAGCACACTCAGCTGTGAACTCAACGGATTAATCAACCGATGAGTACAGCACCCCCATGTTCCAATCACTCCCCAAAAGCCCCACCTCTGAACAGTGAGGGGCATTTTAGATCTAAACCATAACAAGATGTCACTGTTGGTTTAACTGTTCGGATGTGAAAAAACATTTCGGCTGTTTTGGCCATCACATGTAAAACTGCTACAAATATCCCTGTAAGGGTTTTTATGTGAAAGTATAATGATGTGCAACTCTTTGTGTAACTTTCTGGCTGATAACTACAGAGCAAAGGACATCAAAAGATTTGCCAAAAGTCATAGATCACTTCCTTATAACTGACAATTAACTAATGACTCCCTCTTATCGGTACTTGCAGCTTTGTAACTATCTGCTACCTGACCTTGCCAAGTCCTTAACTCTGAGTTTCAGAGAGTCAAGACACATGTTTTTCAAAATATACATTCCTTAAACATGAACGCTACAAAATGTTCCTGAGGAAGGGAGTGGATGTCATAGACACAATGAGTTTTAGATACCTCTTTGGAAATTAACAAATGCACATTGTGTAGAAAGGGAAGACTCCTGCGTCCAACTTCCCAAGTTTACATCTCTAGCAAGACACTTCTTACCTCCTTCACCTGTAAAATGGACAGAGTAATAGGGCCCAACTTGTGTGAACAGAAGATTATACGGACACATACAAAGCACTTGATAAATTCTAATATTTATTATTATTATTGCCAGCATAACACAAAGTATCTTCAAAATCATCATGATCTTGCTAAAATACACAAGTCTAGGCTCCACCCTTGAAGATTCAGATTTATTAAGTCTGGGCAGAATATGGTCTAGCTGAAGAAGTTCTTTACATGTCTAAGATAGCAGCAGAGACAGGACTCAAACTCAGAACAAACTGCCCGGTGGGAAGGTGTCACATACATGTCCATACACAAAGTTAGTAAATTCTCTAAATAACCAATTCTGTGGTCCTGCCAAAGAGTACAATTGTCTTAAAAACTGGACAGTAACATCATAAAATCATGATTCCTCAAGAGGTAGTTCAATAAAACAAAGTATAACTAAGTGCAGTTGTTAACATATCAGCTTTCAAAAAAAATTCCTAAATATAAAATAAAATACATAAAAATTTTATTTATGTGCCATACCATAGCAAATCAAATCTGAAAGAGACATTATTTCCTTAGAAATGAAAGAAAACAATCATGATTGCTATTACTTCCTCAGGTTCCTCCACCACACTGCTCATGTCTGAAGGTCCTCTCATTACTAAGCGCCAGGGCAATTTCCAGCGTGCTTGGAATCATTCTGGAGGCGGTGGCAATCTTCTCACCACTTCCGCAGCAATCCTCAGGTAAGCTCTGGCCTGGAAAAGGACAAGACTCATTTGTTCTGTGTATCTCCCCCAGGACACTGAGAGACTGGTGAACCGTTTGTCACAAATGCCTGCTGTACTTGGAAGCAGGAGAGGAAGAAGTTCAGGCATGGGAAGATGACGCTGTGTCCATTGCAGGCAGAGCAGGGGAGAAAGAATTCTAGGTGTGCAGGGTAATTATTTGGAAGGTGACTTTCTGAAAAAAAAATTTAGTACCAGAAAATACTGTTTTTCAAACTCTAGTCCTCACATCAGCTAACTGACAACCCAGTACAGTTGCAGAAAAACTATACCTTCCTCCTCTGACAAATTGATAGCCTGAGTTAGAGGGCGCCCAAACTTCTTTGGCTTACAAAGTATTAGTCATTTTGAATAGGATTATTTATTACCACCCTCTGGTTTATCTTTACAAAGTACTTTCTTCTTTTTTCCTGAGAATAGTTTGCAGTACTAGCACTGAGCACTCATAAACTTTCACCGGGCAAATTCTGAGTATCAGCCAAGAATTTCTGGTTCAGCCATTACACTCTTATTCTCTGGGTTCCCCAAGGCAGAGAATTACTAGTAGAATTACTAGGACTAGCTCCCAAGCCACAGAGCAGGCCACAAACTACCCCACTGCCCACATGTCCACATTATAACAATGACTATGATATTCACATTTTAAGAATTCTCTTAAGTAATTTCAGTACAAATACTATTCACTTCCCGTACCTCATTCATAAGAAATAATAAAACACAACAGTAAGAATTTCTAAAATCATTAAATTCTACATTGATACACTTATGTACCTATTTGCTATCACTATTAATGATAATAGTTGAAATTTACTGAGCACTTAATATTTACCAAGTATTTCCTTTTATCTGCATAGTTAAATTCTGCCATTATCATGGGGTTAAATTCTGCCATTAGCACTTTATAGGACAAGGGAAAGAGCCAGAAAGGTGAAGTCTGTTTAAAGCTTTATTGCCAGTAGGTAGTGAGCTGGGCTTTGAACCAAAGCTGACTAACTCCTACTTTACACAGTTAAAAGAGATATTTGAGGTCTGTTTTACTGACTTGGTGAAGTGATTTAAGGGTGTTTCACACATTTTTCATTTTTAAAGACTATTCCAAGCCCTAACAGCTGAACCATGTTTTATTTTACCAGAAAAGTGTTAAAATTTCATTTTAAAAGTCCTTTAAAAAGCGCTAAAAATATGAATAAGGCTTTCATTTTTTTTAACTGGATGCCTATAATACCAAGCACTTCACACAAAGCGATCTCAGTCATGTAAAACAGGCATCATTAGCTCAAGTCAGACGAAGACACTGGGAGTTACTTGTTCCAGCTCATGAAATCAGCAGTCTGGAAGACAAAGCAATCTGGATCCAACTGACTCTAAAGCCCAGCTCTTTCTACTATGCCACATATTAAGCAGTGAACTCATAACAAATTCTAATCATAATGCATAGTCTAGAAAGATGCACTGTTATAGTTGACAGGAACAATAGTTTTTGCCTTAAAATAGAAATGAATTATACTTATAAAGAAAGATTTCTTTCATATCTAATGTGTTAGTTTTTATCCATCATCTTTATAAACAGCTTTTATCTCATAGTAGTTATTCTAAGTATTTATGTCTAATATTTTGTGATGAAAATTTAAAGTTCACTAAAGCGAGCTGAAGAAAGGACACCACTATAATTTCTTAGTATTTATCCACATTAAATTAGTACATAAACCTATCAGAATACCAAAAAATTCTGAATGATTACAGAGTAATCAAATCTGCCATATTTAACTCTGCTTTTCAGTGGAAATCTCCAATATATTTTTAATATATCACACTCAAGGTAACAGATTGTCATTTGCTGAGAAACCACTGAAAGTGCTTAAACAGTTTCAATTTCTACAAAACTGTTGAGACTTAATTTTTTTCAGCCAATGCTGTATCCTTTCAGCAAATAGATTTTGGTTCTTAGTGCATGCAAAGCATTGTGTTGGCAAATCCAAGTGACAGAATGATATAAAATGGAAGCAGAACTCCTTGCTGGTGAAGAGGTGGGCCCTGGAAGTCAGGCCACATTTAGAATCTTGGATTCATTACTTGTTTGCTAAGGGCCCTTGGGCAGGTTACTTAATCATTCTGTTTCTACACCTGTAAAATGATTAATAGAATAGTGTCTGGCTGCAAGGTTTTAAGGAGTTTTAAAGCTGCTTTCTTTGTACCAGCACTTCTTACATCTTATTCCACCTGAGGAATAATTAAATTAAATTAAATCACTCCTTTGTTTAAACCATACCTAGCAAGAAGGTGACACATATGAGGTATTCAAAAAATATGGTGACTATTTAAATTTTTAAAAACTTTATTACAGTAGAAGATATATTGTTATTAACTCCCCTCAAAATTTTTCTTCTTACTTCCAACACACTTATCCCACTGTTCTTGCTACTTCCTGAAGCACTTCTGGAAGTCCTTCTTCCGGTGTGTCTTTCATTGCTCTGTCATTGATGCCTCAAATGTCCTCAACTGATTCAAAAGGTTCACCTTTCTTGGTCATTTTGACTTTGGGGACGAGTCAGAAGTCACATGGCACCAAATACAGTAAATAAGGCAGATGAGGACGCACTATAATGTTTTTATAAGCCTGAATTTCTGCTAGATGGCATTTGGCAGTGGCATTCGCCATACTGTACTAAACTTTATTAAAGACACAAAAAGGACTTCCAGAACTGCTTTAGAAAGTAGTAAGAATGATGGGCTAAGTGTGTTTGAAGCAAGGGGGAATATTTTGAAGGGGGATTACTGGCATTGTGTCTTTTACTGTAACACATTTTAAAAATTTAAATATCCACTGTACATTCTGATCACACTTTGCATATTATATGTAAGAGATACAACTGAGATTTCTCAAACTATTAATCCTTTCTTTCATCTACTCAACTCTACATAGACTGACACCCCTCCCATTCTAGGCCTTTTTTAAAGGCTATCTAGAGGCACAGATAATACAGCAACAGGGATTAATGGTAACCAAAGTGAAAGAAACTTTATGGAAGTTTCCTTTGTTTTTTTAATATTTGAAGCTCAAATTTATCGTACATGGTCATTTCATATTAAAACTCTGAGGTGATAATTTAGAAGTTATAAAATAAAATTTCTGCTTATATTGAAAAGTCTTTATGAGGAGTATCTTACATAGGAGTATCTTCTGTAGCTAGTACATTACTTAATAAAAAGGGTCAAACCACATGGGTCCATTACTTGTGTCTGAGTCAAAGGAAAATCAACAATCACTGTCTGCATGAAGCAATTCTATTGAATTTAAGAGTTCTCAGTGCCTACTTTCTCAGTCTTCTACTCTTTTCTCCAGTTCCTACACTACTCACATTTGAAGTTTCACTTCCTCTGGCTTTCTAACTAGTGCATGTGTGCAGAATTTTTTTCTCACTTGCTAGGTAATCATAGACCTGTTAGTGCTTTTTAACTGGTACCATTAGACCTTTCCAATGTCTTCCAGATGTCTCAAAAACTCACCACAATTCATACCTTTATGCCTTTATTCATACCGCCTTTCTAGTGTTTGCCTTTCTCAAAGGTAAATGCTACTGGGAAAGCTAAATCTCTAATGCCTATGCCTGGCATGGTGGTGCACACCTGTAATCCCAGCACTCAGGAGGCGGAGAGGCTGAGGCAGGAGGACCCTTGTGAGTTCGAGAGCAGCCTGGACTACAAAGTGAGCTCAAGGCTAGCCTGACCTGCACAGTGAGACCCCCGTCTCAAAAAAGACAAACAAACAAAATAAATCTCTAATGCGTAAATTTTATGAGCCAAAAGAGAGAGTTTTGACCTCTGAAATTAGAGAAAGAATTGAGGGAATATGGAAAAGGTAAGGTGGAGTAAGAAGAAAGACCAACAACAAAAAATAAAACTCTTGTGATTAGTAATTTTGTCTGACTTAGTCTCTAAATGCAAATGATAAAAAGTGTCAGGTTAAAAAGCTAACAATTAACTAATTTTATAATTGCTATCCTATTTTGCAGAAATTTATGCTGTCAAATTAATGCTGCCTTCATGTGAGTAGAATGGGCAGTGGGCTTCCACAGATACCCCAGGATTTGTTAGGAGGGGTGCAACTGCCTTCTGAGAGCAAAGTTCCACTTGAGTTTGTAGGGGAAAAGGGAAGAGGATTATCAGGAGCCAAACTTCACCACAAAACTGACTAGAAGGGTCCTGACTCCAGGAGTGAATCGCAGCTCCCTAACATTGTTCACGTTGAAGCTGTGAACTCTCTTTATTTCACAATTCAAGTTCTGCTTCTCTAAATTTTAAATACCACCAAAGAGCAACATTTACTTCGTGCTGTCAGGGGCAGGGCATAAGTGCACTCAGCCTTTTAATGAACAGAGGGGAAAAACATTCAGGGTTGTGATATCTTAGGAAGTTTCTGAAGGTAGTAAGTACAGTTGTGTTCTATTTGGCATTTTCTGAAAGTATTTTCACAGTATCTTATTAAATCTTCCTTATTATGATATCAATTTGTAAATGGAGAGAAAGGTTTAAGGAGTTAGGGAAATTACTTCAAGTTCTACACAGGAAGTAAAAACTTTGGTAATGAAACTATGCGAGCTCAGATTCAGCGCTTTTCCTTCCTTGTAGAGATCCTCTTCTGAGAATCTAACAAAGCTCCTGTCCCATTCCCCAGAAAAATGCACCTCATACATTATGGATGTAATTTCAGGATATTCTCAGGCTCAGGCGAAGATCCTCAGTGTTACGCCCTGCAGCTGTGCACACCAAGAGAACCTGATAGGCAGATTCTTCTCAGTTTCTTCTCCAGACTCTGACATTATGAAAAGGAGCTGATCTAAAAGCCAGCTTCTATACACTGTACACAGACACGGAACCAACCTTGCAACTAGCGGGAAACGAAGTGCTACTGCATTGGGAAGGGACTGCATGGACTGTGTATCAGGGCTGGGGGTGAAACTGGCTTTTAGTTCTATCTTGAACAAGGTTCCTTAACGGAAATGAACCTGTGCTTATTCATCTGGAAAAAAATGTAGATTATTGTATTTACCTCACAAAGATGCTGAGAATCAGGTCAGATAATACATCCAGGGCACCTAACCATTTAAGCAATCTCTGAAGAAACTGTAGTATAGGAATCTTACATAGGACTAGAAGGTGATATAATGGAGAGGCCAACATCTGAAAGAAAACACTTGTCTTTTAATCACATCTTATGTAATAGCTCTGCAGTCGGGAAAATTATTGAACTTCCTGAACCTCAGTTTCCTCATTGGTCATATGGCGGCCATCCACATACTGCATTCAGTTGTTGTGATAGAAAGGACCATGTAAAATGCTTGACATGTCTGGTCCACTGTAATCACTATTATTAGGAAGATTAATAATAATGAAGGCCTACAATCTAAGAGCTGGAAATAATGCCTTCCATTGAAAGAGAATAAGTACAAGTCACTATATTTTTTCCTTTTCATGGCCATGTCTAAATCTTATAATTGATCATGTCTTCATATTTAAAGCTGAGATGTAGCTGAAATTCTCGCCATTTTTGCAGAAAGTTTGAAGCTGCTCTATGACACTCAGAAATGACATCCAGCAACAGCAATGGGTCTAATGTTTGTGCAGATGTAGATCAGATTATAAAAACATGTAACTCCAAAAAACTCAACAAAGAGCACTGTTTAGAGTTTAAAATCATATTATCTTTAGGTGATTTTTATATGTCATATATATATATGGATCTAACTTCATTGAAATGTTTCTTGCTTTTGGAGAATTTCAAAGAAAAAACTAATAATGAACAAGTGAAAAAATATGAAAATTACTCATAATGGAAATAAACTAGTAGTAAATGATTCTTATTCATAAGGAATCACCATGAGATGCCTTTACTCTGTTCTTGGGAGGTGTTTAAATGTACGGAATTTAAAGAACTCTCAATTTTCATGCTTTTCATATACTGCACCTATAAAGCACACCTATGACAGTTGGGACTGTCAGATTTTAATTATGAAAGTAATAAAGAATTACACTTTTTGTATATATGAAATCTAAGAAAGACTTAAAAGGAAATTAACATTTAATACCTAAAAGGCAGAGAAAAGCAAAGCGATAACTACTATACTGTATGTACTCAGACTGCCCGTAACACCGGTTCCAAAACTGCCGATCCTGTGCAAAGAAAAGACCCTCCGGGCCCCAAAGAGATGACTCAGAATGTACCAACTTCATTTATCCAAGACTCTTGGGCTAACTGACTCTTAATTTTATTTATAGATTTAGCCATTCTGGGCCTTTTATTTACTAGTTCACAGAAGATCAGAGGAAGCAAACTAAAATAAAAAATGCAGTAGTTATACGGAAAAAAAAATCATAGTACTATAATGTTATAAAGTTATAACTAGTAACTAAGGGGAAAAAAGAAAACTGTTAGAAGATTGGCTGGGGGTGTTGAGGAAAGGGGAGCAAAACCTACACCAAAACATGCACCAGCTGGGCGGGGTGGCGCATGCCTATAATCCCAGCACTCCGGAGGCTGAGGCAGAAAGATTGCCGAGAGTTGAAGGCCAGCCTGGGCTACATAGTGAGTTCAAGGCCAGCCTGGACTACAGAGCAAGACCATGTCTCAAAAAAATAAATAAATAAATAAACAAAAATAAAAATAAAAAACAAAAAAAAAACCTGATATACAAATGACAACTCAGTTTCCAAATTAAATAGCAAGTACTATTTAGGAAATATGATTTTATTTTCTTCCAATTTTAGTATATGTGCTGCTGAAGAAAGCACATGATCTTATTTCTACTTTGAAAAAGATTAAAATAAAAGATTCTATGCTTAAAGAATTTATACATAAGTGATTCTGAAAATCTATCACCAATATCCCCAATGTTGCTGGCTAAAGAAACACCACCGGTCTTTCCATCTCACCTCCCATTATATTTATTAAAATAAATGCAATGAACACCTCACCCCTAATAACTGGATGCCTTAATTCGACTTAATACTTTCTTACATTAGGTTCCATTTTCACAATAATCAACTGAACTTGTAATACTGAAATATAATAATCTTAAGCAGTTATATATTGCTAGCCAGCAAGATGAGAATTTTATAAACTCCCATTACTCGTGTTCTTCCTAAGAAAAGAGGTTAGGCGATGATTCTCTGCAGGTGAATTTGTTGAGTGGATAGTTTAGAGGCAACACTGACAGCCCAGCATGTAAAACAGCGAACATCAAAAATAATTTGGACAGTTACCTAATCCTTGTTTATATATGCATGGCCTACAAACAGATAAGCTAGATCTTCCCAACTTTCTACATATCAAAAAGAATGTATCTGACATGGAAATAAAAATACACATGTAAGCATGCAACTTACCTCATCACTTTCAGGCTGTGAAAACACAACGGGCTGACCTGTATCTGAAGCTTCCCTTATACTGAGGTGTAGTGGAATGTCTCCTGAGGAGCCCAAGAGATATCAGTTAATACCAGAAAAATATCCGTTAATACCAGAGAAGTTTCATAGGCATTTAGAATCTCACAATTTGAACAATGGAAATAAAACATGAACTCCTTAGAATTAAGTTGAGTTATGACTGTCCTCAATTTACTAAATGAAAATTAAGGGACAAAGTATTCAACTTGAGGGTGACTAGATACATATACATGAAAGCTAGCAGGTAAGAGACGAGGCCTCTGATTTATTCTCTGCTGGGGGTCTTCCAGCAAGGAATGGCTTGGAAGGCATCTGTAAGAGATTTTCTCCTGTAATATCTGATACAGATATATCATGCCACACAGTAAGAGAAAACCAAAGAGGAAGGGACACAGAAGCATAGTGCAAAAAAAGTACAGCAAAACCATCTTCCTAGTCTTGGCAAATAAGTGAGCTAAGAGAATGGTTAAAAAGGCCTGACTATTATCTCAACTCTCTGCCTCTTCAACAGAATTAGTTCCCTTTATTATTTTGTAACTTATGTTACTTTATATATAACTTGTGTGCTTGATGAGTTTTTAGGAAGTACTAAATATGTCTACAGACTACCACTGGAGAGGCTGTGCATTTTTCCTAAGGACATACTTCTCCTAGGTGATAGGATTTAAGAGTAAAACGGTCCCATCATCCTCTATCTGCTTTCCACCACACCATCACAAATGAAGTCTTTCAAGGGCTGAGACTTAAAATGCTATAATGGAGTCCTAAGTACCTGTCATAGTACTCAGCAATCTCAGAACCAGTCCAAATCCAGGCAAAGATTACTGAAATGTGTGAGTGTTTTATATAAATAAGTCATTCAGCACCCTGCCCGGCAATGTAAATAATGCAGAAGAGGTATATGTTGCAAAAATATTACAATTTATTATGAAGTAGATATTTTACATTCTGTTCAGAGGAACAGATATTTCACGTTCCCGCTGTCAGCAAATGTTTCAATCTTAACTCTTTAAGTCTTTCCTTCATACCTAAAGCCAATGTCAAAATACATGGATATTTCATTAACCATTTAAAAATTAGCTTTCCGGTAAATGTGATGTCTATTCTATAGATCAATTTGGGACTGTAGGAAATTATCAAGGGGCAGACATGGTACAATAAATTATAGAAAATGCCCAGAAGCCCACAAAAGCTCTCTCTGTCCTCTCCTCACTTCCTCCCTCCCCTCCTGAGCCCTCTGTTGTGCCGAGGACGGAACCGAGAGCCTCACACGTGCTAGACAAGCACTCAGCTACATCCCTAGGCTCAAGCTTTTCTCTTGGCTTATGAACTACCATTATAGTCAAGAATCCTGGATGATGCCTTTTCTACTGCAGCAGTGAAGTTAAAAAAGTAAACACTTCTTTATATAGCCACCTACTGACACCGATTCCGCCCTCCAAAGACTCACACAGGAGCAGACTATGAAAGGAAAACCCTGTTCAGAAAACAGTGAGAGCGGTCATAGGCTAACAGTTGTATCTAGGGAGGAGGACTGGCACAAAGAGTGACAAGGACCAGTTCGGGTCTGAAAAGTGTCTCTGAGGGGCCAGCTCTGAAAGAGGTGCGGGCACATCTCAGACGAGAGAGATTAATGGGTTTTCTCTGAGACAGCCTAACTGCTAAGCATAAACTCTCCCTGGAAGTAAATAAGGACAGGATTCTCAAGAGCCACTTTACTAAATAACCATTTAAAACACAACCCAAAGGATAAAAATAAATTAAGCGGCTGCCAGGAAGTTGGTACAGGACAAATGAAGGTGGGTAGGGAGTCTGAACAGCTGGAAGGCCTTAGCTGAGAGAACGCTCCCTGATTTCAGTTCCTCTTCCCCAATTCTAGTCTCTCCCTAATTGGATTCCCTTCTCCAGTTCATGGGGACACCTCTGGACACTGTGATGGCGTTAAAAGAAGAGATGAGGCCTGAGTTGGAACTACATAAATTACTTTTCCCATAACACTGCCTGACAGCGCAGTCTATGGCACTACCCAGTTTTTGTGATTAGTAATCAGTGTTTCTGATACACTTTCAGGGAACTGTATGTTTGTGAGCTATTGGTTGAAATGTAACTTCCAAATATGAGAGTATCTCTCTACAAGGTGTTTCAAATTCTAAATAAATGACTTACAAAATTGTACCACTCATTTATGTTAGAAAATTGTAATACTGTAAGCATAATTCAATAATGTCATTATAATTACACATTTACTTTATTATATAAGTGAATGTCAATCTGTTGTTATTATGCAGATTTGGATAATTGAACTTTCTAGGTTAGTTAAATGAAAAACAGTTGCAGAATATAATTAGTGGCTATAATTATAGCAATGTATCAAAATATATCATTAGTATTCACCTGGTATTATAGTTTCTGCTATAGTGCAAATGCATAACAATAATACATTTAACTTACAGAAACTTAATTATAATAAAGAAGGTTTTGAAATTCTTTGATCTCCAAGGGATCTTAATTTTTTAACTACCTAAAACTAATAATTTATTCTATATTTAGAAAATATTCTAAATATTTATTCTATACCTAAAACTAATAATTTATCCTAAACTAATAATTTATTCTAAACTAATAATTATTCTATTCAGTATCTAATATCTGTCCTTGCCCAGAACATAGTCATTCACAAAAAATATGTTTTCTAAAAAGTCTATAAAGTTGCTGTGGGTTTCTGAAAAGTCGTATTTTATCCAAAAATCTGTATTTTCATGTATATCTGTTTATACAAACATATTTATGGCCAACTTAGTAACCAAACTGATGACTGTCATTTAAAATATGGCTTCCAATCACTTGGATCATATGTATTTGAACCACAATGTACTTGAACCACAAAATTCTCTCTCAAATTTAACTTATATATGGTTTTTACCTACAGTAGAGATTATTATCATCGCTGGTAAGAAAGACCTATTTTAAAAAGCCAAAGAAAGGTAATCACATAGAGTGGCACTGTACTAACAGAATTACAAAGCCAAAAGCAACTAATTTTGAGATCTTCTTTATCACCAGCCTCATCTCCACTTTCTCTTCTGCAGCTTGAACTGTAAAAGAATAGATGGTCTTACCCAGGACATCAAGATCAAGGGTCTGTGCTAGCTTCTTTGCACCATCAGCACCAAAAATATGAGTTTTGTGTTTACATTTTGGACACTGGAAAACGCTCATATTCTGGATAAGGCCAAGAACCTAAAGTAATAAAAACACATTGAAATTGAAATAAAATCATATCAGATCTCAATATACCATTTCAACATGTTTTTATGGTGTGTCTAGTAGGTAGTGATAAAAGGATGAGTTATGGTCTCTGTTCTTAAGGAACTCACAAGTTAGTGAGAGATCAGGCTATAGGTAATTATTTTAACATGGTGATAAAGGCTAAAAAGAGATAAGTAAATAGCAACCAAAAACGCTTAACTGGGAAGAACAGCAGGAACTCTGAGTTGTCCCTGGAGCGGGTGAGGCCTACAGCAGAAAATACAGACAGAAGGAAGAACAAAAGCGATGCAGCAAAATAAAACTATCTGGGCTGCAACCCAGTGCAAGGTCAAGGCAGAAGACGGTTTGGTAAGGAATGCCAGGGTCAGATGGTAAGGCGCTAAGTGCTCTCTGTGTATCTGAGATGATCTTGATCAGACACAGGAAAGCACAAAGGTTTTCAAAGTTGCAAAGATGGTATCAAAGAGGTGGTGTTACACAATATGAAGAAAGGGCAGAAAGAGAAGAAAATAGTTAAGAGGTCAACTATGGACAAAGTCTCATGGTCAATACTAAGCTAAATAAAAAGCAAAATAAAAAATAGATAATACAAAACAAGGAGGTAGATCTTTGCCAAAGGGAAAGGGGACCAAGAGATGGAGGGAAGAGGGCAAGAGGGGTGGAGAAGGGGCTAATGAAAGAATTAAACTATGTTTACATGTGCATCTACTCACCATGAGGAATGCAATCACTATGTACTGCAAACATGTACTAATAAAAAACCTGAAAAAATACTAGCAAACACATACTGAGTGCCTACTACGTGTCATGTACTAAAGTGCTTTAAAGGTACTACCTGATTTGTTCCTCATGAGAACTTCTTTAGTGGGTATTTTATCATACCTATTCTGCAGCAGAGGAAATGGACAGTGATAGCAAAAGACTGAATTTCAGCTCTTATTAGAATAGTTCTTTAATAGATATTATTATTCAATAGTCTCATTGAATAAATATACTGGCTCGGCAAATATAATCTGTATTCATGTTCCTTGTAATCTCATTTTTTTTTTTTTTGGTCTTTTTGAGACAGGGTCTTGCTTTGCAGTTCAAGTTGGCCTTGAGCTCACTTTGTAGCCCAGGCTGGTCTCGAACTTCAACAATCCTCCTGCCTCAGCCTCCCCAGTGTTGGAATTACAGGCGTGCGCCACCATGCCCAGCTAATCTCACTTTCTTACCAATGAGGAGCAGTGACCTCTTTCCAAAATAAAAATGCAGAACACCACCATCAGAGGTTTAGAGATAACAATGCTTGTATCATCCTACCAGTTCCACCATAAGATCATCACTACATACTACTAGAACATGTGCAATTTAAATGAAGAAGCACTGATAGTTCATAATAAAACACACAAGAAGTGTTAAAATTAGTCATTCTTTTTAAAAACGGTAACAAAAAAACTAAGGTGGCCCACACACATGTAAATGATGACAAATAGTGAAGGACATGAACATGAGGCAAAGCATTTTTCCAAGCATTTAATATATACCCTTTTACTGATGTAATAGATCACAAATAAGTCAGACTGTTTTGATAATTCAGTACCATTTCCAAAAATGCTAGAAGAAAAATACAGCTTAATATCATAGAGCTTACTTATTTACTATGTCTATATAATATACTCATTGCTTGGGCACTTTTACTGCCATTTATGTTAAACATTATAGACACCCCGACTGCAGGGCTTTCAACTTAAAACATTAAAAAAAATCAATAAGGGAGAACAGTGGAAATATTTAGAACAAAGTGAACATCTAGATGAGGGTGTACTTCAATTTGGAGAGAACAGAAGAGCAGTCTTGCCTTGGAGTCTCCTGGACACTCCTAGACACAGAAGCATGGATCAAGAGTGCATCTGTAGTTTGGGTGATTTATTCATTATCAAATTGTTCTCCATGTACTATATAAATATTTCAGATATAGTATCTAAAGGCTACATAAATGTCACAGACATAAAATATAAAACTATAATCAAACAATACTTTAAGTGCTCTTATTAACATATGCCAGTAACTGGACAAATATGAGGGATAGAAGGCACACAATAGAGAGCAAAAGACTTGATGGTTGCCCCCTTGGAGTATGCACTCTAACTGGGGAAAGGAACTGAATGAAAAATATGCTTCTCTTGAGAACAGTCAATGATTACTTGATTGATCACTCATGTATAGCTCTATTTTTTTTTTTTTTTTTGGTTTTTTCTCCGGTACCGGGAACCGAACTCATGACCTTGCACTTGCCAGGCAGGCAGTTTTGCCTCTGAGCTAAATCCCCAGCCCTGTATAGCTCTATTTATTTTCTCTAGAGACCACTTTGGAGAAACCAAGCTATAGTATAACAACCATTGATAATTTCCTGCCATTTTTGTCTGTAACTCACTATTATTTGTCTATTTGTTTTCCTGAGAAACTATCTTAAAGATACCAATAGGTAAAATAACAACCATTGATAATGTCCTACCACTTTGTAATTCGGTGAATCCCCCTATTGCTATGTTGTCCTTCTTTTACTCTTGAAAATTAAAAAAAAAAAAATTAAAAAAATTAAAAAAAAGAAAAATATGCTTCTCTGGAAGCAAATTGAAAAAAAAAAATTAAAAAAATTAAAAAAAAGAAAAATATGCTTCTCTGGAAGCAAATTGGTGGGTATTATGAGACAGTAGTAACTTCTTTTAGTTTAAGGATAAATGCTGTAATGTTGCTTCCTAGGTCACCTAGAATAAACTAGTCCCACTTAGCTCTAGAATTTCCTCATCTTAAGAACTTCTAACACATGTACTACTTTGCTTGATTTGAAAAAAAATTTTGGTTACAACATAGCACCACAGAGAACCCACCCAGATCCATAATGAAAGTCACTGATTTACACTTAAACTATCACACAGCAACTCCAAGTAAAGTAACAACAGAAATGTGAACATTATATTCACTAAAAGCCATGTACAAACTGTTTATAACAGTATTAATAATTGCAAAAAAATTGAAAACTATTCAGCTGTCCATAAACATTAAAATAGACAAACTGGTTATTTTCACATAATGAAATGTTATACAGAGAACCCTATAGCTACAATCCATAGTATGTGTGAATACTGCAAACAATTCCAAGCTAAAAAGCTAGTACAAAAATATACATTATACTACTATATATCTCATATATAAAAAAGTTCACAGGCAACACCAATCTAGGTATTATAACATGGGGTCCAGGGAAGTTGAGGTGGGAGGATTGCAAGTTCAAACCCAGCCTAGGCAACTTAGTAAGACACAGTCTCAAAAGAAAAAAGAAAGTAACCATGAGAAGAATAAGCAGTGAAGCAAGAAGTAATAAAGCAGTGAGTACAAATAACAAAAACAATGGTCTATTAGGTATCTTATGAACCTGCATACAAAAACAATCACCTACTTTATATTCTATAGAAATGAAGATGTAGCAGTGTAATTAAGATGAGTTCCTTGGGAAGAACAATCTTCTCTTCTTCCTAACACTCCAATGAAAGACAGGGAGGAAGCCTAACCGCAGAGAAGACCCACAATGATGGAGTTACACACTGGCGAGCTCTAATAAGGTAATCATGTGGCTTTCGAGCACTTGATATGCGGCTAGGAAAACGAACCCTTCAGTGCCTAGCCTTCTGCTGTGGAATGCCCACTACGATGGAACATAATGAAAGTTTTTCTCTTCAAATTCTTGGTCCTTTAACTTTTTTAGGCAACGTATACGAATTTCATGTAAAATTTCAAAATACTGCTATCTTCAGCATAAATGGGTTAAGATGTATTTTTCATGGAAAATATACACTGAATATCTGTATGAGTAAATGCATGTAAAATATCTCAGTAATTTTTAATCTTACAAATTATTTCTATGTGTTTCCATCAAAGTATATGAATACATAAAATACATAAAATACATGAATACATAAAATACACAAGTCCTCAGTGTATGGAGGACATGAATACATAAAATACACAAGTCCTCAGTGTATGGAGGACACTTAGGACACCCACATCAACAAGACCCTGTCAAGAAATAAAACACTGCCAGCACACTAGGAGTTTCCTTTTATCCCCTCCAAGACAATCTCCAAAGATATACTAATCTGATCTCCAGCACCATAAGTTATTTTTTTCGTCTTGAACTTGATACGAATACAATTATGCAATATATTCTTTGCGTCCAAGTGACTCGCCCAGCTAAACTTTTAGCTGAGTTCCACAAGTTCATAATCCATTCTCCCACTGATCCATTTAGGTTATTTCTAGGCTCTGGAATTTTGTAATAATGCTTCTATGAATGTTTTCATGCTCCCCCTTTCTGGGTAGGTGTTAGGTTACACCCTAGCTACCTTTCTACTGTGTTTTTAATTTGCATCGTCATAGTTGTTAATGAAGGTGAGTATATTTTGAAATGTTTATTGTGATTTGTATGCTATCTTCTGAAAACATGATCATGTATCTTTCTTATTTTTGCAACTGATTTTTTTCTTATTAAATTGTAAGTCTTATTAAATTGTAAGACTTTCTAGTGTTTTAAAATAAAACCTGTTGGCTAAAGATACAAAAATCATTAAAAAACATTAAAAAACCAAGAACTTTTTCTATACACCAATAATGGAACTAGCTGAGGAAGAAATCAGGAAAACAATTCCATTCACAACAGTTTAAAAAAAAGACCTAGAGATCAACTTAATCAAAGAAGTGAAAGATCTCTACAATGAAAATTACAGAACAATGAAGAAAGAAATTAAAGACACTAAAAGATGGAAAGACCTCCTGTGTTCATAGAATTAACACTGTTAAAATGGCCACATTACCAAAGCAATCTCTAGATTCAATGCAAATCCCTCAAAATACAAGTTATAGTCTTCATAGAACTAAAACAAAAACCCTAAAATTCATATGAAAACACAAAAGATACAAAATAGTCAAAG